TCACATAATTATTGATGGAACGAGATTTAGTTTTAGATCAAGACCCATCTCTGGTCTTCCGAGTGATTTTGGTGAAGAACAAGCTGCACCCTTACCATAAACGACCAATTCACCTCATCGACAGCCGATAAATTTAAATAACCGGCGAAGAAAAAACTGTGACAACAGCTGGACTGATCAATTGCTGGAAGCACCCTGGATCCAGCTGAAAGACGTGCTAAAGAGTTCAATAGCCAAATGGATCCCACGCATCTTTCCTTCGTCCTCCTCCAGAGTTCAAGACCGGAAAACACAAGTGGGCGGAAAAAAGGAAATCAGGTTTGAAATTATTTGCTTACGATCCCTACCTCTGACCACGGTTTCTCAGCAACCACGGAACAGCCACGGAACAACACACAAGCCAGGAAACAAATGTTTATGCCACAATACCGAACGAGGTCACGGTAGCGAGACGTCACGGCAATTTGTTCCTATCCCCGGAAATGCTGATTTGCGGCAAACGTTATTCGCATTTGCACCAATCGTTTTTATTTGGCATTATTTTCGCTACCATTTTCACTACCGTGGCAATTTCAAGACTCTTGGACTTCACCTCTCGGCGGCTCCCTAAGTGGCTCAGTGGCTAAGACGCTGAGCTTGCCGATCAGAAAGGTTGGCGGTTCAAATCCCTCGTATAGGACTCCTGTCTAAAATGAGGGTTGGACTATATGACCTCCAAGGTCCCTTCCAACTCTGTTACTGTTACTCCCAGAATTCCTCAGCCAGCTATTCATGTCTGGAGACCCCCGTTCTACAGCCCCTCCAAACCTATTCAGAAACAACGGAAATCTGGACAGGTTTTGCCTCACTTTAAAGATGAATAAAGGATGATAGGAAGCTAAAGGTAAAAGTTCCCCTCGCACATGTGTGCTAGCCGTTCCCAACTCTAGGGGGCGGTGCTCATCTCCGTTTCAAAGCCGAAGAGCCAGCGCTGTCCGAAGATGTCTCCATGGTCATGTGGCCGGCATGACTCAATGCCAAAGGTGCACAGAACGCTGTTCCCTTCCCACCAAAGGTGGTCCCTATTTTTCTACTTGCATTTTTTACCTGCTTTCGAACTGCTAGGTTGGCAGAAGCTGGGACAAGTCAAGGGAGCTCACCCCGTTACGCGGCGCTAGGGATTCAAACTGTGTTTGATTGACAAGCTCAGCGTCTTAGCCACTGAGTCACCGCGCACTGAGTACACACCTAAGTACTCACCGTGTACTGAGCTGAGACGCCACTGAGCCACCGCACACCGTACTGTCAGGTAAACTCACACAACGCCTAGAGCAAATCACAATCACAGTTCAAGGTGAAAACTCAGTGTAGGAACATTTCAGCATTGAAGGGGTAACAACAGGAGGAACCGACTTCTGCTATTCAAACTCTAGAAATACCAAAGCTATAAAAGTTGACATCAAAACCCACGGACACATCGTTAAAATTATTATAGTGATGGGTGGACCGAGAAGAAATTTGACAACACAGACAGGAAAGAAGAAAAAGAAAAGAAAAAATCGCAGCCAACTAAAAGATGACTCACAACCAATAAAAAATACCAAACCTCAAAACACAGAGAACTCTGCAATCAACCAACCAACCAACCAACAGCAAAGCCTAAGAGAACAATGATTTTTTTTTAAAGAAAGATTTTATGAACATCATTAGGATGGAAGCTGGATGAATATTTGACGAAATGTCATTCCAGAGGCCGGGGCTACAACAGGGAAAGCATACTACGGGACCGCCTGCTACCACCAATAGCCTCCCACCGACTGGTACGCTCCCATAGAGAGGGGCTCCTCCGGGTGCCGTCGGCCAAACAATGTCGACTGGCGGCCCCCAGGGGGAGAGCCTTCTCTGTGGGGGCACCTACTATCTGGAACGAGCTCCCCCCAGAGATACGGAGGATCCCGGATCTGCGTACCTTCCGTCGCACGTTTAAGACGTTCCTATTCCAGCAAGCCGGCCTAACCTAAACTTCTCCTCTTTTAAATGGGAATTTTAAATTTGGTTTTAAATTATTGGGGTTTTAAAATGGTTCAGCCAAATTTATTTAATTTGTTTTATCTTTATTTTAAATTTTGTATTTATATGTTTTATTTTATGGCTGTTCACCGCCCTGAGACCTTCGGGAGTAGGGCGGTGTACAAATTTAATAAAATGAAAATGAAATGAAATACTCCTATGTGTTGAAAAATGGCAGTGTTGGGTTAGTTCATATAACAGGGTAAGATGCAACTCGTGCTGCTACTACCCCCACAAGATATGGAAATGTCTAGTTTAATGAAAAGAAGGACTAGGGGAGACATGATAGCAGTCTTCCAATATCTCAGGGGCTGCCCCAAAGAAGAGAGGCAGTCAAGCTATTCTCCAAAGCACCTGAGGGCAGGACAAGAAGCAATGGGTGGGAACTAATCAAGGAGAGAAGCAACTTAGAACTAAGGAGAAATTTCCTGACAGTCAGAACAATTAATCAGTGGAACAACTTGCCTCCAGAAGTTGCGAATGCTCCAACACTGGAAGTTTTTAAGAAGAGATTGGACAACCATTTGTCTGAAGTGGTGTAGGGTTTCCTGCCTGGGCAGGGGGATGGACTAGAAGACCTCCAAGGTCCCTTCCAACTCTGTTATTCTATATTTCAAAGTGGGGAAGACTGAATCAGATCAATATCTTCTATTCCAAATAAGGAAAAAACAAGAAAGCATTTTAACAAAAGCAGTTTTTTTCACTACGCGTTTCCCACACTTCCCGTCGATTTCACGTCAATATTACATCCGTAGGAGACGCCCACTATCCCCGTGTCTTGTGGCAGGAAGTAATATTTTTTTTCTGCTACAATTCACATTTCCCCAAAGTGAACAGGACTTGAAACCAAGCAGGCTCCAATTTAGGGAAGTGGGGAGCATTTGATTAAAAAAAGAAAGAAAGAAAGAAAAAGAGATGCCACTGACTCTTTTAAAGTTTTGATAAAACTTATGCTGGTTGCATACACATCTCCAACCCTGGGAAAATCATCATTGGCTCGCCTTAAGGAAAAGTTTGGGAGACAGCAAAATGAGTTTTCACAGTTCACCTGTCCGGTATTCAAATACACAACAACAACAACAACAAAACATTAGCATATTGGCTCCTCCCCCTTTCCCTTATTTTTGCATCACAGTGGCCTAGGGAAGTCAACAACAAGGAACAGGAGAAAAAAAAAAAACGAACCCATTTTCTTGGGAGGCGGGAAAAAGAGGCAGGGGACAGGACCGCCCAGCCACCCAATAACGCTTGGCAGAGCCCCTCGGGGTCAAAGGGCAGCCTTAGGGGGTGAGTGAAGTAGAAAGGGTCAAGTTTCGGAAGTCAAAAGTCCCCGGCCTGGAATAAAGTCCTCTCCCTTCCATCCCATCCCTGCAAAATAACCGAGAGCGTAGGCACCAAAGACAAATTCCTCGCGTGTCCAATCACACTTGGCCAATAAAGAATTCAATTCAATTCAATTCAATTCAATAATTCAATTCAATTCAATTCAGTTTTCAGTTCAGTTCAGTTCTAATTTCTATTCTATTCTACTCTATTTCCATATTCTATTCTATTCTATTCTATTCTATTCTATTCTATTCTATTCTATTCTATTCTATTCTATTCTATTCTATTCTATTGTCTATTCTATTCCATTCTATTCTATTATTCTATCATTCCACTCCACTCTCCATTCCATTCCATTCTTCATTATTCTATTCCATTCTTCATTCTATTCTATTCTATTCTATCCCATTCTTCATTCTATTCTATTCTATTCTATTCTATTCTATTCTATTCATTTCATTCCATTCTTCATTATTCCATTCCATTCCATTCATTATTCTATTCTATTCTATTCCATTTCATTCCATTCTTCATTATTCCATTCCATTCCATTCATTATTCTATTCTATTCTATTCCATTTCATTCCATTCTTCATTATTCCATTCCATTCCATTCATTATTCTATTCTATTCTATTCCATTTCATTCCATTCTTCATTATTCCATTCCATTCCATTCATTATTCTATTCTATTCTATTCCATTTCATTCCATTCTTCATTATTCCATTCCATTCCATTCATTATTCTATTCTATTCTATTCTATTCTATTCTATTCTATTCTATTCTATTCTATTCCATTTCATTCTTCATTATTCCATTCCATTCCATTCATTATTCTATTCTATTCTATTCTATTCTATTCTATTCTATTCTATTCCATTTCATTCTTCATTATTCCATTCCATTCCATTCATTATTCTATTCTATTCTATTCTATTCTATTCTATTCTTCTATTCTATTCTATTCTATTCTATTCTATTCTATTCTATTCTATTTCTATTCCATTCCATTCTTCACTATTCCATTCCACTCCACTCCACTCTGGAAGAGTCTAGGCTGGGCAAAGGCAGTGGGGCCACTAACAGCCTCCCCTTTGACAACCTGTGGACTCCAACTCCCAGCATTCCCACAGCCACAAGGAAGGAAGCAGGAATGCTGGGAGTTGAAGTCCACCCATTGTCAAAGGCTGGCAGCTGGTCCTGTGGGTGGGTGGGGGAGTGGGGGGGTTGAAACCAGCTGCCTCTTGGGTCAGTATGGGAAGTGGGGGGGTGGGGAGGGGAGAAGACTAATGGAGGGAGGGAGGGAGGGTCGAGGAGGGGGGAGGAGATTTGGGGATGGGGAAAACAAGAGAGACCCCCCCTCCCCCATGCTTGCCAGAGTTGGGATGGGTGGGAAGGGAGGGAGGGGGAGGGGCTGCAACTAGCCCCTCCCCCTCAGGAGCAGGACGACCAATGGGGGCTCTTATAGGGGGAAATAGGGGCCCCTCCGCACCCCTCCCCCACAGCCCCTCCCCCCCAAAGGGCCGCTCCGTCCATCCAGGGCTTCTCCTCTGGGCCGACGAGGCCGGAGGACACGCACCATGGGACCTGGAGTCCAGGAGGAAGAGGAGGCGAGGCCCTCAATGGACTTACGGGCCGGGCGGGCGCCGCCGTCGCCGCTACCGTCTCCCCCACCCTCCCCAGGCGTGGGGCGTGTGTGCGGGGTGGGGGTGAGTGGGGGAAAAAAAAAATCCGCGGGCGTGGGGAGGAGGCTCGCTCCACGGAGTCACGGGCAGGCAACGCCGCCGGGTTCAGGCACGGACGCGCCGACCCGGAAGTACTAGTGCCGCCATTCGGAAGTGGCCGGAAGCCGGGTTTGGGGAGGAGGAGGAGGGGGGGGTGTTTTTTGGGAGGGGGGGGCTGGGGGGGGGGCGCTTGGGGGGGGGGGGGGGGGGGGGAAACAGAGGGGCGGCCATAAAGGCGCCGTCTGCTTAGGAGAGGAGGCGGTGGCGGCGGCAGGAGAGGTCCGCCGGGTCCTAGTGCTCTCCTTTTCTTTTGATTCAAACATATATGTTTATATATGTATGTTTATATATATATATGGATATTTATTTATTTATTTATTTATTTGTTTGTTTGTTTGTTTCTATTTCTATACCGCCCTTCTCCAAATAGGACTCAGGGCGGTGAACAGCCAAAGTAAAAAACAGATAGAGAGAGAGAGAGAGAGAGAGAGAGAGAGAGAGATACCTCCACCATCCACCCCCCCCCAAATCTGATAAACCCTAGAAAGAAATCCTGCTGGGTCTCCATCCCCAAAGGCCTCAAATCCAGCCGTCCTCAGCTTCAGTGAACTAAGGGAGCAACGAGGGACCCTCGAAGCAGGGCGAAGTCTTCACTCAGGTCCTCCTGTGTGGAATATAGTCAGGCAGCTTTGTCGCTGTGGACCCTGAAGTCTTCACTCAGGTCCTCTGGTATAGATGATAAAAAAAATAGATAAAAGTTACAGTACTAAGTTGTGCTGTTCACTTGTGTACCTCCCATCTATATATACATGCATTACACATAATCCAATACCTAAAAACACTTCATATTTCCTTAGGTAGAAATTTTTGCTTCACAGTGAGGCCAATTCAAACAAGCCCAGGCTGCCTTGCTCTCCCTTCCTCTAAAGATAGAAAGTACTATGCACTGTGAAGTCTTCACTCAGGTCCTCATGTGTAGCTTCAATAGATAGGCATAGCTATAAACCACAGTACTTTGCATTGTGAAGTCTTCACTCAGGTCCTCATGTGTAGCTTCAATAGATAGGCATAGCTATAAACCACAGTACTTTGCATTGTGAAGTCTTCACTCAGGTCCTCATGTGTAGCTTAAATAGATAGGCATAGCTATAAGCCATAGTACTTTTTGCAGTGTGAAGTCTTCACTCAGGTCCATCTCTCTCTCTCTCTCTCTCTCTCTCTCTCTCTCTCTCTCTCTCTCTCTCTCCCCCCCCCCTCTCCACTAAAGATATAAATGACTGTCCACCATGAAGTCTTCACTCAGGTCCTCATATACTCATTAAATAGATAGGCGTAGATATAAGCTAAACTGCTGTACATTGTGAAGTCTTCACTCAGGTCCTTATGTGTATAGCTTAAATAGATAGGCCTAGCTATAAACCATAGTACTTTGTATTGTGAAGTCTTCACTCAGGTCCATCTCTCCCTCTCTCTCCCCCCTCCCTCCACTAAAGATATAAATGACTGTCCACCATGAAGTCTTCACTCAGGTCCTCATATACTTATTAAATAGATAAGGATAGATATAAGCTAAACTACTGTACATTGTAAAGTTTTCACTCAGGTCCTCTGGTATAGATGATAAAAATAGTAAAAGTTACAGTACTAAGTTGTGCTGTTCATTTATGTATCTCCATCTATATATACATGCATTACACATAATCCAATACCTAAAAACACTTCATATTTCTTTAGGTAGAAATTTCTGCTTCACAGTGAGGCCAATTTAAACAAGCCCAGGCTGCCTCGCTCTCCCTCCCTCTAAAGATAGGAAGTACTAGACACTGTGAAGTCTTCACTCAGGTCCTCATGTGTAGCTTCAATAGATAGGCATAGCTATAAACCACAGTACTTTGCATTGTGAACTTCACTCAGGTCCTCATGTGTAGTTTAAATAGATAGGCATAGCTATAAGCCACAGTACTTTTTGCAGTGTGAAGTCTTCACTCAGGTCCATCTCTCTCTCTCTCTCTCTCTCTCTCTCTCTCTCTCTCTCTCTCTCTCTCTCTCTCACTAAAGATATAAATGACTGTCCACCATGAAGTCTTCACTCAGGTCCTCATATACTCATTAAATAGATAGGCGTAGACATAAGCTAAACTGCTGTACATTGTGAAGTCTTCCACTCAGGTCCATTTACACACCCACAAACGCCAAAAACATACAAGAAACAAAAGAGAGAGTCATGTCTTTACCGAGGTCCGAGGTGACTGCCCCTTAAATTTAAAGATATAAATTATTTACTATTTAATTTTCTCTCAGTTCCTCATACATAGAAGTCTTCACTCAGGTCCATCTCTCTCTCTCGCTCTCTCTCTCCCTCCCCCCCTCCCTCCCTTTATACATAGTAAGTTCTACTTCAGACTGAGGTCTTCACTCAGGTCCTCACTTACAGATTAAAAAGGTAGGAACAACTATACGCCACAGTACTATATGCACTGTGAAGTTTTCACTCAGGTCCACCTCTTTCTCCACCTTCCCCTCCCTCTCTCTTTCCCCCCCCCCCCCTACATAACCCCAACTAGATTCTTCTTCCTATGAGAATCTGAGGGAGAAGAACAAAAGTTGCCAATCAACCACGGACCCTTAAAAAAAAACCCATTGAAACTGCCTATTTTTTTGTCTAGGTTTTTAACTGCTAAGAATGGGATTTTATTGGTCCCTGAATCCTCCCTGGAGTAAGGGGGAAAAAAAGCATAAGCATCAAATAAAATCAACCCATTGGCTCCCCCCACCCATCAATCTTCAAGGGGAGGGACGACCTCGATCTTCCTTGTAGCTGCTATCCAGAGGTTTTAAGGACAAGGAAAAGTTAAACTCCAGAGTTTTTCTTCCAAGTAGCAACTCTTCCGGTTGCAAATTGGTTGCTTTTTATTTATTTATTGTTTGAGAGTTCAGGATTGCCTTGGCCTCTTCCTGGCAAACTTTCCCTCTTATTTATTTATTTATTTATTTATTTATTTATTTATTTATTTTCGGCATATAAATCGAATAAATAAATAAATAAATAAACTCCTCTCAGGAAATTTCTCCTTAATTCTAGGTTGGAGATGCCTCCTTGTCTAGTTTCCATCCATTGTTTCTGGCCTTCTGTGCTTTGGGAAAAATAGGTTGACCCCTTCTTCTCTGTGTCAGCCCATCAGATTTTGGATTGCTATCATGTCACCCCCAGTCCTTCTTTTCACTAGAGTCGACCTACCCAATTCCCACAACCGATGAAGGGCCCAGGGAAAAGGCGGGCAGAAGGATGTCCCGTTTTGTGACCTTTTGACAAGCAAAGTCAGTGGGGAAGGCAGATTCATTTAATAACCGTGTTAGTAACTTAACAACTGCAGTGAATTACACTTCACCACTGGGGCAAGAAAGCTCGTGAAATGGCGGCAAAACTCACTTAACAACGGTCTTGCTCAGCAGCAGACATTGTGGTCATAGGTCGAGGACTACATAGTAATAGACTCCGCCCTCCATCAAGTTCCGAAGACTTTGCCTCCATTACAAAGATATTCTCTATGATTTACTTTATTTTATTTATTTATTTTTCAGATTTCTATACCGCCCTTCTCCTTTCGGGACTCAGGGCGGTGAACAGCCAAAGTAAAACACTTTATACACAAAAGTTAAAATGGATTTAAAATAATTAAATAATTTGGCCCATAATTAATCTAAACGCCCGTCTGCAACCTGTTTATTGATTTATTTTTTTAAACGAATGGTACAATTGTGCAGAAACCTATAGCTCCTTTCTACCACCTTGGTGAGCTCTATATGTGACAGAATTGCGATTTCCAGAATTCCCAACTTTTAAGCCGCATCTCGGTGACGCCCAATTGGGAAAAGCTGTTCTAGGAACGCAAAAGTTTGTGTTATGTGTTCGTTGCTTCTTCATTCGTCAGCTGATGAATGAAGACGGAGAGGTAATGGAAGAATGGTTGCTCCCTATAATTCTGTTTGAAACAACCCCCCCTCCCCCTTAATATTTTGTAACATGTAATGTCCAAGAATACTTAATTAAGAGTGTCTCCAATTATATATGCAGCCCTGCAAACGGGGAGCATTTGCAACCATAAATAAAAGGAGGCAGGAATAAATTCATAATTAAAAATGCATTAGGAATTACAAGCGTAATTTACTAATGCGCATTGGAATAAATTTCCAGCCGTAATATTTTTAAATATGGCATTAATAAATAATGGTAAACAGAACGTTGATAAAAAAAAAATTATATATTTCCATAAATAACTACAGTCCAACACGCCACGTTGTTTAAAAGAGTTGGCCGGGATATAAATTTGATCTGGCAGAAGCAGGATTTTTTTTTTTCCTTTTTTTAAAAAAATACACAATGAAGGAAGAAGCCGCTCCGAGGATGGGCAAGTTGGATGGCAAAGTTGGCAGCTCCGAAATTGCCTTGTGTGGTGTTGTTAGTTTTGTTTTTTGGTTTTTTTTTGCAAAAAGTTTTTTTTATTTTTTTTCCCAAACATACAAATTACATCCTTTGGGATGTTTTCTTTTTCTTCCAAGGATTTAAATTCAAAACATTCCTGTTTCAGCAGGCCGGCCTGGCCTAACTTTCCCTTTATATTGCTTTCGATTTTATTTTAAACTGGGATGTCTTGAATTATCTAGGACCAGTGTTTAGTATATTTTAATTGGTTTTTTATTAACGTTTGTATTACATGTATTTTTATCGTTTGCTGTTCACCGCCCTGAGTCCCTCAGGAATAGGGCAGTATATAAATTTAATAAATAAATAAATAAATAAAATAAATAAATCCCAATAATGATGTTGTAGGGCCAGCAGGGAATTGCCCTCCGAGTATCCCTCTCCGAGGACTCCGATGGATGGGAGATGCAGGCGGAAAAAGATCCTGGGAAGTTTTTTTTTTTTTAATTTAATAGGAGATTTTTGGGCAGGAGGTTTTAAGATTCAGAGAGTTCATTTCCAAGAGATTATTTGCAGGGTTTTGGTTTGGGTGGGTTGAAGAACCCTCAAATCAGAGCGCTTCTTCGGAGGCGTCTTGCATGGGCTTTGCAGTCCTTGGCATGGGTGCCAGGCAGGGGATGATGGGTTTGGTGGTCCTCCTGAAATTCCAGAGGGCGTCCTCAAGTCCTGGTTTTGAAGTCTCACGCCCTGCAAGGAGGCAAGCCAGGTCGTGGGGAAAGGGCATCCCTGGGTGCGATGGGGGAGCCTCCCCGGAGAAGCCAAGCGGGGCCCTGCGGGTGGGCAAGGCGGGCGGGTTGCAGGCCGAGACGGGCAACTGGAGGCAGGGAGGCGGAGAGGATGCAAAATGGTCGGGTTGCCCCCCGGATGGAGCCTCCCCGGCCGCTTGGGCGGAGGGAGGTCGTGAGGAGGCAGCCAGGGCGGACGCGTGTATAAAGACGCGAGGATGCCGGGCCGCGTCGTCGCTATGGCAACCCTTCCGCCTGTGCCGCATCACGTGCCCCGTTCGAACGCGCCAATGGCAAGCCGCGCCGCAGAGTTGGGGCGGGGCCGGGAGAACGTCCTCTATAAAGCTCCGCCTCCTTTCCATCCCAAGCCGTCTCGGATTGGCGGGGAGCGGCTCCGTGCCCTCCTTCGGAGAGCGCTGATTGGCCCCGCCGCGGATTCCCTCTGAGGGGGGGGAAACGGGCGGTTTTTTTTTTTGTTGCCTCTGTGGCGAGGCGTCCGTTAGGGTCGTCGGGCGAAAAAAACATGTCCGTCGGGCATAAATCACCTCAGGGCGGTGTGGCCGGGGGAAGCGAGCCCGACCTTTAACCCTTTTGGCCAGGTGACCCACCACGGCTCCTCCTCCCCCCCCTCAACCTCGCTCCCTTGGCAACAAGGAAAAAAAAAAAAAAGCCAAGCCGGGGCACTAAACCACGCCCCCCGAGCGGGCGGGGCTAAAAGAGGCTGACGCGCGCGGCCGAGTGGGAGGAGCCACACACAAAGCAGAGAGGGAGAATGAGAGATGGGAGGGGGCGGAGCTATCAGGGGGGCGTGGCCCGCTGCGAAAGGCGTCCTGACCGGTGGGAAGGGCAGGCGGGTGGAGTGGGCGTGGCCTGCGGGGGCGTGGCGGGGCGTGGCCCCCTATAAAAAAGGCCGGCTCGCGGAAGCCCGGCCATATAAAGCCAAGTGGCGGGAGGAGCGATGGGGCAGCTTGGCGGCGCCGCCTGGGAGGCGGGGCGCAGTTCCTGGTTGGGGGGCCAGGTAAGGGGCGGGGCTTAGGGGGGCCAGGGGTGTGCCGGGGGGGGGGGGGAGGGGAGGGTTAACTTTCTTTCTTCCTTCCCTTCCTTTCCTTCCCTCCCTCCCTCCTTCCTTCCTTCCTCTTTTCCTCTTTCTTTCTTCCTTCCTTCCTTCCTTCCTTCCTTCCTTCCTTCCTCTTTTCCTCTTTCTTTCTTTCTTCCTTCTTTCCTCTTCCTTCCTTCCTTCCTTTCCCTTCCTTCCTTCCTTCCTTCCTTTCTCTTCCTTCCTTCCTTCCTCTTTTCCTCTTCCTTCCTTCCTTCTTTTCCCTTCCTTTCTTCCTTTCTCTTCCTTCCTTCCTTCCTTTCTCTTCCTTCCTCCCTCCCTCCCTCCCTCTCTTCCTTCCTTCCTGCCTTCCTTCCTTCCTTCCTTCCTTCCTTCCTTCCTTCCTTCCTTCCTTCCCCTTCTTAACTTTCATTCAGCCGGGGCAAAAGCAGCCCCACCTGCCGGGGACCCCCAAACTGGGCTTAGGGGGCTGCAGAAGGGTCGAAGAGAGGACCCCCCCACCAGCCATTGGCTGCGCTCAGACCCCCGGCTCTCCTTCCAAGGGGGGGAGGAGGCGTGGCCAAGGGGCGTGTGGGCGGGGCTCCGGGAGAGGGGGGCGTGGCTCCCCCTCCCCGTCCCCTCCGGCGGCTCTTTGCTGGCCGCCGCTCGCCTCCTTCGCCGGGCGACACGTCGGCAAGGCTGAGTGAACGGCGTTGGCAGCCTGTCAATCGCTCACCCCGATCAAACAACACAAAACACACGCACAGCCACACACACACACACACACACACACAAAGCGGCCGGACTCATCAATTCCAGCCGGCTGCTCTTTTTTTTTTCTTTTCTTTTCTTTTTTTTTGCCTTTTTTTTAGGGGCACTTGCTATTATTATTATTATTATTATTATTATTATTATTATTATTATTATTATTATTATTATTATTATTATTATTATTATTATTATTATTCTCACACACCCCTCTTTTTTTCTTTCCCCCTTTCCCCCTCTTTCCCTCTCCCTCCGCTTTTCTTCTTTTCCTTTCCTTTCTTTTTTTCCCCTCTTTTTCTTTTTGGGCTTTGCCCAAGTTCAAACTTTTTTTTTTTCTTCTTCTTCTCCCCTCCGGCTTCTCTCTCTCTCTCTCTCTCTCTCTCTCTCTCTCTTTTTTTTCTCTTTTCTTTCTCAGCTTTTGACCCCGCCGGGACCGAGACTCCGAGATCGCTGGTGATGCTTTTGTTGTCCCTTCTCCGGCCGAAGAAGGACGAGGGCGACTCTTCTCCTTCTTTCCCCCTCTCTCCTCCCTTCTCTGGGGGAGAAGGCGGCGGCTCCCCTCCGCTTGTCAATGTGGCCCATCCTTGAGAGCCGGGGATGCCCGCTCAGATACCGGCTGCTGCTGCTTGGTTGTTTCCCAAAAGAAGACGAGAAATCCCTGGACCAGACTTGCCTTCTTCGTCATCGTCGTAACTTTTTCAGGATTTGAAAAAAAAAACCCCTTTTCCTTCTTTTTTTTTTTGAAGGGAGGGGGTGTCTCGCTTTTGGGGGGCGACCCCCTCCTCCCCTGCGACTCCTTTGTTTCCAAGAAGGGGGGAGGGAAGAAAGAAAAAAAGAAAGAAATCGGAGGAAGTGCGAAGAAGAAGAAAAAGAAGAGAGGGAAGGAAAAAAAAAAAGAGAGAGAGAGAGAAAAGCCAGACACTCGCACCGACAACCCAAGAGGAGCCGAATCCGAGCCTTCCTCCTCCGCTCCCACCGCCTCTGCTTCCGAAGCTCCCAGATCCAGAAACGAGGCTCCCAGAGCCCCCGAGAGCCGCTCTGCCGGGCGAGGAAGAGGAAGGAGGAGGAGGAGGAAGAAGAAGAAGAAGAAGAAACGCGACTTGAAAAAAAAAAAAAAAAAGGGGGGGCCCCCCCCCTCCCCTTTTCCCCCCCCCCCCCCCCCCCCCGCTTCTCCCACTCCCCGCAGCTGCTTCTGCAGAGGCCGGCGGGCTCGGCACCCACTGATCGCCGCTGGAGCCTCGCCGGAGCTTTTGGAACTTAAAAAGGAAGAAGCTTTTTTTGAGGGGGGGGGAAAGCCAAGCCGGAGAGCGGGAGAGAGAGAGAAAGAGAAAGAAAGAAAGAAAGAGAGAGAGAGAGATCCACCGCCAAGCCGGAGCGATGTCAGGCTCGGGGATTTAGCTTTTCGGCGCTCGCTCGCTCTCTTTCCCCCCCCTTCCCCCCTTTTTTTTCCTCTTTTTTTTTTTCCTTTTTTGTTTCTTCCGTCCTTCTTTTTTTTCTCCGAGAGCGGCGGGAACTGCGGCTGAGATTTTACTTTCCCCTTCCTTGCTTTTTGCCCGCTTGCCAGCCAAGGAACGCTGCCGTTTTTGCGTCCATCCGCTCCCCCAAAACCCCTCGCTTTCTCCGGCTCTCCTTCCCTTCCCTTCCTTCTCCTTCCTTTCTTCCTTTCCTTTCTTCTCCTTCCTTTCTCCCTCTTCCTTTCTCCCCTTCTTCTCCTTCCTTTCTCTCCTTCCTTCCCTTCCTTTCCTCCCTTCTCCTTCCTTTCTTCCTCTTCCTTCCTTTCTCTCCTTCTCTCCCCTTCCCTTCCTTTCCTCCCTTCTCCTTCCTTTTTTCCTTCCCTTCTTCTCCTTCCTTTCTTCCTCTTCCTTTCTCCCCTTCTTCCTTTCTCTCCTTCTCTCCCCTTCCTTCCCTTCCTTTCCTCCCTTCTCCTTCCTTTCTCTCCTTCTCTGTCCTTCCTTCCCTTCCTTTCCTCCCTTCTCCTTCCTTTCTTCCTTTCCTTCTTCTTCCTTTCTTCCTCTTCCTTCTCCTTCCTTTCTTCCTCTTCCTTTCTCCCCTTCTTCTCCTTCCTTTCTCTCCTTCTCTCTCCTTCCTTCCCTTCCTTTCCTCCCTTCTCCTTCCTTTCTTCCTCTTCCTTCCTTTCTCCCCTTCTTCTCCTTCTTCTCTCTCCTTCCCTTCCTTCCTTCCTTCCTTCCTCCCAGTCCCCCCCCCCAATCTCGCCCGCCCCGCTGCCGTCCCCAAAGTGCGATCGTCGCGGCGGGCACCATGGACGAGCAGACGCGGATGCTGCAGACGCTGGCCGGCGTGAACCTGGCCAGCCACGCGGTGCAAGGGGGCATGGCTCTGCCGCCTCCCCACGGGCACGAGGGCGCCGACGGCGACGGCCGCAAGCAGGACATTGGCGACATCCTCCACCAGATCATGACCATCACCGACCAGAGCCTGGACGAGGCGCAAGCAAAGTTGGTCTTTTTTTCGAACCGGCCAGGGGTTTTTTTGGGGTGGGGGGCTTGGGGTGGGGGTGGGGGGGTCTGCGCGCCGATTGTCTGGGGCGTTGTGTTTTGTGGATGTGTGGATGGATAGATAGATAGATAGATAGATAGATAGATAGATAAACAGAGAGAGAGAGAGAGAAATAGATAGATAGATAGATAGAGAGAGAGAGAGAGAGAGAGATAAATAGATAGATAGATAGATAGACAGAGAGAGAGAGAGAGAGAGAAATAGATAGATAGATAGACATAAATAGATAGATAGATAGATAGACAGAGAGAGAGAGAGAGAGATAGATAAATAGATAGATAGATAGATAGACATAAATAGATAGATAGATAGAGAGAGAGAGAGAGAAATATATATAGATAGATAGATAGATAGATAGACAGACAGACAGAGAGAGAGAGAGAGAGAGAGAGAGAGATAGATAGATAGACAGACAGACAGACAGAGAGAGAGAGAGAGATAAATAGATAGATAGATAGATAGATAGATAGATAGATAGATAGATAGATAGACAGACACACTGTTGATCCACTAAACTATTTATTTATTTGCTGGCTAGCTGGCTTGTTGTTTGCCTGCCACCTGGCAAAGTCCAGCTGGAATTTAAAAACTGCTCCTCTTAAAGGCAGCCTGGAGAAACCAGAGGGGACAAAACGTGACAATTCTGCCCCTTCCTCAAAAGGAAAACCTCCACCACTGGGAAAGCCAAAAATGGCAATGAACCAAAGACCCCCCCCCAGATTAGCATCCCCGCCGGGTGCCAGTTGTTTATGTTGCTGGGTTGAGTGTGTATGTGGGGAGGGGGGAGGGGGGAAAAGGATTGATCCCCTTCCCAAATCCATAATCCCGAAGCAGAGCTTCCTTCCTGCCTTCCTTCCCGTTCCTCTCTCCCCCTTTTCTATCCTTCCTTCCTTCCTTTCCATTCCTATCTATCTCCTTCCTCCCTCCCTCCCTTCTTTCCTCCCTTCTTTCCTTCCTATTCCTATCTCCTTCCTTCCTTCCTTTCCATTCTATCTCCATTTTCCTTCCTTCCTTCCTTCTTTCCTTCTTTCCTTCCTATTTCTATCTCCTTCCTTACTTCCTTCCCATTCCTATCTCCATTTTCTTTCCTTCCTTCCTTCTTTCCTTCTTTCCTTCCTATTCCTATCTCTCTCCTTCCTTCCCATTCCCATTCCCATTCCCATCTCCATTTTCTTTTCTTCCTTCCTTCCTTCCTTCCTTCTTTCCTTCCTATTTCTATCTCCTTCCTTCCTTCCTTCCTTTCCATTCCTATCTCTTTCCTTCCTTCCTTCCTTCCTTCCTTCTGTCCTTCCTTCCTTCCTTCCTTCCTTCCTTCCTTCCTTCCTTTTCCTTCCTTCCTTTTCCTATCTCCTTCCTTCCTTCCAAATAACCCAAGCAATACCCGAGCTCTTGAAAGACGGGGAATAGCAACTTCAACCCCCACCCCCAACCCCCTTCAACCCGGCATCATCTAGTTAGACATACCTAGGAAGGCCGGGGGGAGAAACGGCCTGGCACCCCCATACAGCAGTCTGCTGTTGAAGGAGTTGCATCTCCCCTCTTTTTTTTAAAAAAAAAAAAAGTAGAAAAGTGGACTCTCTTTAAAGTAAACATTGCAACCAAGTATCAGGCAGAAAAGCAAGCAAGCAAAACAAAAATAAAATAAATACAATAAAAAATAGACGGAAACTCAAAAAGTTTGAGATTCTGTCTCTTCAAATGTTTGTTTGTTTGTTTTTGCTTGTTTATGGAGGGAATTCCTGGAGTTAAGTGGAGGCATGGCTGCAAAGAGCTGCGGGAGGCGAGTAGAGGAAAACTTAGCTTGCTTGCCTCCCTCTCTCTCTCTCTCTGGGTCCTCCTGGGCCTCCCCCAAACTTGTGTGTTTTCTTTTTCCTTTAGAAAATTGTGAGCCTGGGAGGGAGGCGCAGTCTGCCTGGGTTCTTGCTTTTCTCAAAAAAAAAAAACCTGTCCCAGTCTGTTCGGCCTCTTCTCTCTCTCTCCTTTCCTTCCCTGAGTTTTTTTTTTTTTAAGTAAACATTGGCCTGCCGAAGAACAAGAGAGAAAGAGAGGAGTGGGGGTGGTGGCAGGTGGTGGTTGGGAGTGACATTTAATTAATTCATTTATTTTGGAACTCCTTTTTTGCAAGGCCCCGTCCCCGTTCCTATGAGAGACCCACCGAAGGCCCACGGAGTTGAACTCTTAGAAGTTCCTTCTCTTTCCATAAATCACGACTGCTGATGAAGAGCGGCGTGACAAGCTGTGATTTATTTTCCCCAAGAAAGAAAGGGTTGGGAGATATTTTCAGGAGTGGCTTTGGATTTGGGGATTGGTGGTGGTGGGGGGGGAAAGAATCGAGAGGAACCCCCCCCTCCAAACTCTTAGGTAGCGGCCTCCGACCGACTTCTCCCGTGTCCCTCAATTCTCACCCTTTTCTGCTTTTTCTTCGAACTTCTCCCTTTTTCGAATGCCTCTTTTTGTAGGCGGGAAAGAATGCCCTGCTGGTACTTAAAAAAAATACCCCCTCTCCACACCCCACCACCCCAAAAAAGTCTTAGGACAAGAAACTGTGACCTCTTCACCCCCCTCCGCTCGGGCTAATCCATCTCCCCCCCTTTTTTTTTTATCCCTGGGTGTTTATTTTCCCTTCCATTTTTTTTTCCTCTCTCTCTCTCTCTCTTTTTTTGCAGAAAGCACGCTCTCAATTGCCATAGAATGAAACCCGCTTTGTTCAGCGTCCTGTGTGAGATCAAAGAGAAAACAGGTAGGAAAAGACCGACTCGGGGTTTGGGGGGGGGGGGGCAGAGGGGATGAAGCAAAACACAAACAAACAGGCCCTCGTCTCTCTCTCTCTCTGGTACCCTCATTCTCCCTCCTCCTCTCCATCCCCCCCACCCCTTACACCTTCCCTGGATAAACAGGGTCACAGACCCCTTCCCCCTTCCCCCAGCTCTGGGAGAAAAGCTGTGTTTGGCGTTGCAGCCATCTTTGATCTGTTCTCATCGGGGGGTCGTTGATCTCGAGGGTCCCCGAGCATCCTTTGCAACCAACCTAATTTGCTTTTGGCCGGCTTTCGATGTTCGCGCTCTGGTTTTGTTCGGACGCTTGTTTTGCAAAACGCGGTGAAAAAAACGGTGAAGCCTCTGTGTCACACACACACACCCCTACCATCCCTCCCTTCCCTGTGTTTCTATGGAAGCGGCCGTGGATTCAGCTGGCTTCCTTTTTCCCTCTTATCTTCCTTTCGCCTTCCTCTCCTCCTGATGGAAGTAACAGGGGAGCTAATTACAATTACAGAGGGTGGCTGAGCTAGGAATTTGCTGGATTCCCCCTCCGGTGTTTTAATTTGTTGTGCTTGCCGGGCGAGAGAAGATCTCGCTGCAAAAGCTCCTTGCTGCTTCAGATTTTTTTTTTTTTCCTCCTCCTAGGGAAAAACAAAACAAAACAAAACTCCTGGTTGTTTCCAAAATGCTTTTAGAGGCTGCACAAACACCTCCCCACGCCAGGATTTTATTTTATTTTATTTTATTTACAAAGGGGGTGAATCTGTGGAGAGCTTTCAACTCGGTGGTTTTGATCTCCCCCACAATAGGGATGGGGTGGAGAAAAAGAGAGATTTTTCTTTGAGAGTCTTAAGGTTGATAAAGCAGGGGTCCAAGAAATCAAGATTTTATTTGCAGGCCCGTTTAAGAGCTGGAGAAAAAAATCCCCCCAGGTTCTAAATAGTAAAAGTCGCCTGCCGTCAACTTCGTTTTAAAGCTCTATTTTCATCCTTCCAATTTGCAGAGAGTTGGATTCTTACATTTACAAGTTGCTCCTTCTAAGGGGCGAAGTAGCAACAGTCCCCTGCGGGACTTCTGTGTTTAAAAAAAAAAATCTATTTAATTTCCTAGGAGGGTGTAACTCCAGGTTTGTTCGACATTGTCTCGGTTGGCGTGTGACTAAAGTCGGTGCTTTCATGCGTGTGTGAAATTTAAGGGAAGGAGGAGAAGCAAAATACCAGAATGGCTAACGGTTTAAGGTCTTTAGAAACCCACGTTGAGCAGAAAAATACAGGGGCCGGCGTCGATTTTTTTGCTGGCGCGTCTACGCGGGAACGATTGCCAAAGCGATATTAATTTTTCTGCACGAGTTTACCTGTTGTTGTTGTTGTTGTTTAAATCAAACCCCGGAGAAGTTGATAAACTGTTTTCTAATACGGTGCGTTATGTGCTGATAATGGAGCTTTTTGTCATCTTCGTATGACCTCATGCCTAGAGTTAGCATTGTGGTTGCTGGGGAGAGAGAGAGAGAGAGAGAGAGAGAGAGAGAGAGAGAGAGAGAGAGAGAAAGAAAGAAAGAAAGAAAGAAAGAAAGAAAGAAAGAAAGAAAGAAAGAAAGAAAGAGTAAATGGAAAGAAAAGGTGGAGATTGATCTAAAGGGATTCCTGGCTGGAATTGAAACCGAGCCAGTGAAAATCCTGGTTTGTGTTTCGGGCTGGTTCTACAAGGAATATACCCTGTATCCCAATTCCAGTCTGCCCTGGTGATATATTTCCTGCCAGTAAGCCCGCCGATCCTCCCAAGTTGAATATGGGAATCTCATGGTTGGTGTTTCCAAGTCCACCTTCCAATTTTCGGAGTTTTCCCTGCTGCCTGGACTCTGCTAAGTCACCGTTATCTCTCTCTGGCTCCTGAGAATTAAGACCTGGGCTCATTTTGGGAGTGGGGGGTCTGGGGGGGGTGCCCAAAAGACTCCAAGATGGATTTGGCGAGCTGTGTTTATAGCCTGCTGGAAAAGAAGTGAGACCCTGGTATGTTCACCTTCCTTTTTCTATTCGACTTCCCTCGGCTCATTTTGCTCGTTCCTATTTTTTTTTCTGGCAAGCTAGGGGCTTGGGTGTCTCTGAGTCCTTTACTAAGACCGTATTACTATTATTCTTCTCTTCCTTACTAGTATCTGTCTCTTCCCACTTATTACCATAACCATGTTGCTGGTATCTCTCAATTTATATTGTTTTCATTTGTTCCCTAGTACGATTTGATAGCTTATTAGTAACCTGTGACTATCATCAAGCGTTGTGTCTTTTGATTCTCGATGCATATATTTTATTTTATTCTCCTTACGTACACTGAGAGCCTATACACCAAAGGCAAATTCCTTGTGTGTCCAATCAATGAAGAATTCTCTTCTATTCTACACCGGGATCATCCTTTCTAACTTGGCCCGGTTCGGCTGAATTCTCCTTTGCCAGCAGTTTTAAAACTTGGCTCGGCGGAAAGGAAGGCTCTGGAACTGGCGATGCCAATCGAGGGACCCCTGGAAAGGGGAAACTTCCCAGAAGGGGCTCGGGTGAAAACTCCCGAGTTGGGGGGTCCTGAATGGAGACGTTCCTTGAGTTCTCGACACTATCCACCCATCCACCCCACCCCCCCCCGTGAAATGCTCCAGACGAGCAGAATGTTTTTCTCTGGCGAAGAATTCTTCCCTTAGCAATTTCAGAAACTTGGGAATGTGAGTATGGATATGTTAAGGGGGTGGGGGTGGGGGTGGGGGAAAGAAAGCCCCCCCCCCCCGGTCCCACATCCCTCTGTGGAATATTGATATGTTTACAGGTTTATTTGAATGGGTGGCCCTCGTAAAAGGGTGAAGCGCCCTTTAGTTAGAAAGTTGTTGTTCTTTTTTTTTTTGCACGCTTTGTATTGCATGATTATCGTCGTTCTTTTCTCTCCTTCCTTCTTTTCTGCACCAGCAGAGAGAAATTTCCCTTTTTCCTTTCTCTTGCTCAGTTTTTAAAACTTCCTTTCCTTTTTCCTTCCTTCCTTCCTTCCTTCCTTCCTTCCTTCCTTCCTTCCTTCCTTCCCTCCCTCCTTTTCTCCTTTCTTTTCTTCCTTCCTTCCTTTTTTCCTTCCTTCCCTCCCTCCCTCTTCTCCTTTCTTTTCTTCCTTCCATTTCTCCTTGCTTACTTCTCTCCCTCCTTTTTTCCTTCCTTGCTTCTTTCCCTCCCTCCTTTTCTCCTTCCTTCCCTCCCTCCTTTTCTCCTTTCTTTTCTTTCTTCCTTCCTTCCCTCCCTCCTTTTCTCCTTCTTTTTCTCCTTTCTTCCTTCCCTTCCTCCCTCCTTTTCTCCTTCCTTCCTTCCCTCCCTCCCTCCTTTTTTCCTTCCTTCCCTCCCTCCTTCCTTTTCTCCTTTCTTTTCTTTCTTTCTTCCTTCCTTCCTTCCCTCCCTCCCTTCTTCCTTCCTTCCCTCCCCCTCCTTTTCTCCTTCCTTCCCTCCCTCCTTTTCTCCTTCCTTCCCTCCCTCCCTCCTTTTCTCCTTCCTTCCCTCCCTCCTTTTCTTCTTCCCTCCCTCCCTCCTTTTCTCCTTTCTTTTCTTCCTTTCTTTTCTCCTTGCTTACCTCCCTCCCTCCTTTTCTCCTTCTCTCCCTCCCTCCCTCCCTCCTTTTCTCCTTCCTTCCCTCCCTCCCTCCTTTTCTTCCTTCCTTCCTTCCTTCCTCAGTTGAACCTGGTCATTGCCGTCTATTGCATCCTATGCAATCACCTTCTCTCCCCCCCCCTTCTTCCCCCAAGGAGGAAAAAGATTTGTTTATGAGATCCTTGATAAAATAACGGAGGCCGCTTTTACCGCGTGCACAGAAAGGCAAGGCGGGAGTGTAACCGTTGGAAATATGAGGGGCGGCAAACTAATTGGAACCTGTACGTGTAATTTTAGATTTATTCATTTAGACAAGAGGTGGACCTGATACGGCGGCCGGCCTTGAGTTGCAAAACACAGCTATTCAGTTTGGGGACCCTCAGCAGTTCTACGGAGCCCATATTCTCTAGGCTGTCCCAAAACACAATATGTTGTAAATGGAATATTTGTCCGCACGAGAACTCCGCTCTTGAGTTAGGCAGCAGAAGTTCCCTTCATTGGAATCTCCAGAATTTTAATTTACACCCTTGACCCTGTTTATAACAATGTGTGTGTGTTTTTTTTTTAAAGTTTCTAAGCCCTACCTTTATAAAGATATTTATTTTTCCCCGCCACCCAAATACTGGAAGTTTAGCAGGGAAGGGAAAAGCTGGTCTTTCCTGCGAATTAGCCTGTTGATCCAGATGCTTTCCAAATAACATCTGCTGAGAGGAGAAAGTTTATTCTGTAACAACAACAACAATAATAATAATATGATGTTTGGGCTGTTATTGTGACCGAACTCTTATGATTAGGCTACTCCTTTCTAGATTGCGAGAAGTCTAGATTTCTAGATTCTAGATTGCTAGATTTCTAGAAATCTACTTTCTAAATTGCTCTTCCTTTGAGTGTTGCTGGATGGCGGTGGCGTCTTTTTCCGCCTGTCTCTTTTGCCAGCTTGTTTTGCATTCCTCCTTTTTAAGGAGTCTCCCCTGTTCTTCGTTCTGTCTCTTTCCCGGCTGAAATGGCACGCGTTTATAACAGACCGAAAAGTGTTCGCCGTTCCGTATTTTCACGAACCCTCGAATGCTCTGCCTGCCCGGGCCGCTGCGCTGTCTTTCTTTCTTTCTTTCTTTCTTTCTTTCTTTCTTTCTTTCTTTCTTTCTTTCTTTCTTTCTTTGCACAAGTTTTTGGTGTGCCTCTGAGCACACCAGCTTGAGCTGAAGCTTTAAGGACCTCTGAGATGACAGCTGCCAACAACAACAACAAAAAAAACCCTGCCGCTAATTGAAAGCCAGTGCAAGTCTAAATGGCTTTAATTCACTGGAAAGTCCTAATAATATACATAATGCCTTGCTAGAGTTGTGTAGCCTTTGTGAGGCTTTAGAAGCTGG